TTAAAACGTGCTATGGTGTTTCTTTCTTTCGTTTAAATTTAATTTCTGCCAGTAAAATTACAAAGATCTCAATTGTTGCATCATAATTATTTCCTGATTTCATGTATTTGTGCAAGGACTTGACAACGGGGAAGATGATTGGCCTTGGGTAAACAAACATGGAGGACTTTACCACAGTGAATGCCGTTCGTGTTCACCCATCCACTCTTGCAAGTGTCCATCTCGCCTTGATCTGGCCACATGCGCCTCGGACATCTATCTTCTTCACGTTTCAAATTAATTTTCTCCTTTGTTTATTCTTGAGTAAAAACCACCCGTCTGATTTATTCTAATAATTGTAGTGTTGTCCTTTAGCACAACAACAAAGACAACCTTTCCTATCATTCCATTACAACTAAAAATCCTTATTGATTTAACTACATTGTTTGGGGTCCTCATAAAATTCCCACACATATAGGAGCACGTTTTTTTTCTTACCATCGTGGATGACTTTACTAGATGCACTTGGATATTTTTGATGAAATCTAAGTCAAAAACTCCACACTTATTAACAAAATTCATCCAGTTTGTTCACACACAATTTAACACATCTGTTAAAATCATCCGACCTGATAATGGATCAGAATTTCACCCTCTTAAAAATTTTCTTCATCATCATGGCATTGAATTGCAACATACTTGTGTCTACACTCCTCAGCAGAATGGTGTAGTAGAACAGAAACATCGTCACATTCTTAATGTTGCACGATCTCTCCTTTTTCAATCACACGTACCATTAGAATTTTGGGGAGATTGTGTCCTTACAGCTGTTTACATCATAAATCGACTACCAACACCTATCTTATCAAATAAATCACCATATGAATGATTATATCACAAAACCCCTTCTTTGCAACACTTAAGAGTTTTTGGTTGCCAGTGTTATGCAACTAATGTCCATCCTAAGCAAAAATTTGATCCTCGTGCCATTTCATGTATTTTTGTGGGATATCCAAATGGACAAAAAGGGTATAAACTTTATGATCTCACCACCAAAAGATATTTTGTCAGTCGTGATTTACAATTTCATGAAAATTCATTTCCTTTTTCTCATAATGTTCCTTGATCCACGTGCTACTTCTTGTATTTGTTGGGCTACCCAAAACGGACAAAAGGGTTATAAACTCTATGATCTTACTACACATCAATATTTTGTAGTCAGTCGTGATGTCCAATTTTGTGAAAATATATTCCCTTTTGCCCAGAATACTTCACAAACATCACAAAACCTACCTCAGCCGCAATTAATTATGGATGCTGATCAGATTTCCTTTTCCACTAGTAATGTCCCACCTTCAGCAACTATAGACTCCTCTACCAGTCCTTCTCCTTCCTCAAATAATTCACCTCATAATTCTTCATCACATTCTCAAATTGTGTCCACACCTTCCGCAACTCTTTTCGACGACCAACCACTTCGTCGATCGACTCGCACAAAACATCCACCACGTTGGCATCAGGAGTACTTTATGCCGCCTGGAGCCAATCACGCTGCCCCAGAAGCAAGTCCACTTCAAAATACCAGGTATCCCATTACTAATTACATGACACTCTCTAACTTTTCACTTAAACACAGAACCTTTTTAGCTCACCTTACCACGCAGGTATTCTTATGAAGAAGATTGTCCTAATCCCCATGCAAAAGGGCCTATGGATCTCGAATACAAGCAGCGGAACGTAAACCATACATGGAGTCTTGTTTCTCTTCCTGCAGTCAAAAAAAAGCCATCGTTTGACGGTGGTTTATAAAATAAATACAATTCTGACGAGATCTATTGAGCGCTTATAAAAGCCGTCTTGTTGCAAGGTTATACACAAGTCGAGGAATTGACTACCGGGAAACTTTCCACCAACAGCCAAAGTTGACTACAAGCGATGCTCTGCTCACAATTGCCGCAGCACCGAGGATGGCTACAAACCATCGTTGGATGTCCAAAACGCCTTTTTTACATGGTGATTGCAAGAAATTGTCTACATGACTCCTCCACAGGACTCGCCCGACAGGGGGAGATTTGTATGTCGGCTTCATAATTCCCTTTATGGACTCAAAACAGCTTGCCCGCAACTGGTTTCCACCTTCTCCATCGCCATACAACAGCTTGGATTACACACAGTCCAAGGCCGGACTACAGTTTATTCACAAAAGTTCAAGGAAATGTCTTTTTACTGCGCGTACTCACTTTACCGTTGATACATTCTTATTGACAGCAACAGTTTCTACAGAAATGAGCCAACTTAAACAAACATTACTTAGGACAGTTCACATCAAAAGGATTTGGTCTTTAAAGATACTTTTTGGGCATTAGAATTTTCAGATCCAAAACAAGCATATTTATGTCTCAACGAAAAGTTATACACTCGATATACTACAGGATGCAGGTTTAATTGGAGCCAAAGCCAGAAATTTTCCTTATGGAGCCAGCAAATGAAACTCCAATGCAACCTTGATGGCGAGTTACTACATGAACCAGGCCAAGTACAGAAGGCTGTGGTTCGCCTATCAGTTTACTTGACCAGTAACACGGCCTGATATAGTTTACCCACCGTGCGGATGCTTAGTCAATTTTAATGGGCGGAAACCACGGACAAACACATTGGACACTGCAACTCCGGTTGTTGAGCGTAATATCAAAGGATCAACCTGGAAGGGTCTTCTATTTGCCATCACGAATTTCCTTGCGAATTGAAGGTTATTGTGATATCAGACTGGGCAGGATGCCGCTATGACACGACGATCTATTTCAGATTACTGTTAACTTCTTGGTCTTCCTTAAATATTCGTGAAATCAAAAAAGCAAGCAAATGTTTCGCGGTCATCTGCTTGAAGCAGAATATAGGCAATGGCAAAATGCTATGTTTAGAGATTACATGGCTTCAACTATATTCTACAGGATTTGGTGTGAGAGAGTAAACCGACCAAAAACTGTTTTTAGCTGATACAAGCAGCCACTACATATAGCGAGCAAATCCGGTCTTTCACGAGCGTACAAAACATATAGAGATTGACTGTCATATTGTACGTGAGAAGTTGCAGTCAGATCTTATTAGACCAGTGCCTATGTTCCGACTAAAATGCAGAATTGCAGATATCTTCACAAGGCTTTAGACTGATCAGTTAAAATCTGAAGGGCAAGTTGGGTATCAGAAATATTCACGTCTCCAAACTTGGAGGGGGAGGTAATTAAGGAAAATATATTGTATTATTATCTTTTCCAAATTTAGATATAGTGATTATTTTGTAAAGACGATCATCAATTACCTGTAAATAGCTTAATGATAGGCTGATGTTTAGGAGATGATATGTTATATATCTCTGTATAAATTAGTGTTGATGATCAATAAGAAACACACAATTCTCCACAAAATTAATTTCTTCCCTTGATATTTTAGAATAACCCATAGATATATTCCAGAGTTCTTTAACAAAAGTCATCTATTCTCTTCGCTAATCTTCTATTCCTATAGAATGCTCTACTAAATAAAAGTTATTTTCTAATTAGAAATTTAACATATAATCTGTAATGTAAATCTGATGGAACTATAAAAATCATCGGCATCGGAAATGAAATACATAGCCGGAAATATTGACTGAACCGGAGTTTGAGTTGATAGATGGAACTTGTGTGTTTTTCTATCTCTAGAACGGCATTTAGGTTTTTATTTTGTTTTTTTGGTTCTGATTTATTGAAATTAAAGCATTAATAACTAACATGTTACTGCCTCGGTTCTATAGTCAAATTTGAGAAAATAGTTTGTTTTAAAATAATCGTCACATTTGTGGTTTGAAGGTGTAATAAATATTTTTTTACCATGTTTACCATTTATATATGACCAATAATTATTACTTCAATTTAATGAATTTTTTAGAAAATTAGTAATTAACGGTAATATAGCTAATTTACTCAATAATTTATTATAACTTAAACAAATTTAATGGTTTTCTTATAAGACGTGAAATTCCAAATTCTATATATATAATACTTATATAATAATTTTTTTTTCATTAATTTGAATGAAATTAAAATTAAAATTAAAAAATCTATATATATCTATATATCAAGGTCTATATTCATCCTTATCCTATATATGATATATATATATAAAAAAATAACGCTATCTCTTCGACTTCATTGTGTACACTGTTTGACAAAACATAAATACTTTTATATTTATCTATATAATATATACAAATTTATAAATTATATATATATTATGAATATTTAAATGTTATTATAGAAATTATATTTGTTTTAATGTATTAATTTATTTATGTTATTATTTTGGACTATATATATATTAAAATATATTAATAATATATCTCTATAAGTAAATATTTTAGTATTAAAGTATTTATATTGGATTTAGTATATTTTTTATACTGTATATTATTCAACTACATATTCTCCTCGTTTTAGTTCATACTACATCTTCCTCGATTGGTTTCTTAGAAAGTAATTATATGCACACAGAAAAAGGATTCTTTAAATCAATAAAGGCACATGCTCTGCATTGTCATTTGTCACTTAGGCAGAAAAGCTTTATAATTACTTTAAATGAAAAGCTCTATAATTACTTGTGGGTGCACTCTCTTTCCAAATTTTTATTTCAATATTTACTTATTTATCTCACTTCTATTGTTAGCTTTTTTTTTCCTGTTACTATTTTCAATGTAAAAACAAATATTGATTCGATAAAACGCAATGCAATTTAATTCTCAAAAACATAATAAAGTAACTTTTTACTGTACTTTTTAGCCAATCTGCAATCAGAATGAAAAGTAAATGGAAAAGTTATACTATTCAAAAAGAAAAGATAGAAAGAAAAGTAGAAATTAAAAGATGATATAAGATAGAAAGAAAAGTAGAAATTAAAAGATGATATGATACGCACAAAGTAGAAAAGTTATATATATAATCAATTCAATAAAAAAATGGTGGTTCAACCATTTTGAACATGTTTCCTAAAATTGAAAGGCAAATTTATACATTGATTACCAATAATATGAAAACTCCAGATCACTTCATGAAATTCATATACATATACTTTGAGTAGTTGCATGTATGAATGATCTAAAAATTACGCATAACATATGTGTTTCAACACATTATTGCAAAAGTCTTCTATTAGGTATGGAAATATTCCGGCTAATAATTTAACATTTCAACTATGGTAGCCAACAATAAATTTTCTTTTACCATCTCTTATGATCGCTATCAACTATCAGTTCTAGCATACTGTCAACAACTCAACCAAGCACTCAAAATAGCTTTACCATCTCTTATGATCGCTATCAACTATCAGTTCTAGCATACTGTCAACAACTCAACCAAGCACTCAAAATAGCAAGTTATAGGATTCTACTTTAAAGGTTATAGAGTCTGCTGAAAATCCCTGTTGTTGAAGTACAAATAGATCTCTTTACCAGAAGCTGTTGCCGTAGGCATTGCAGAAAACCCAACATAGTCCCTCTCTGACTTAGTTCTGCATATTTCAGCAACATACTTGAAGAGCTGGTGTTTTTGATTATAGGGTTGATCCACATACTCCTTAATTGGCATCCACTGAGAAAAAGAAAATAAGAAACAAAAAAAATTACCATCATCTTTCTAACAAAAACCATCAATATTGCACATAAAGTAAAGATTCCTAACTTTCTTTTTTAGGATTTAATCTCAAAATGAAAGGAATATTATTTCAAAGTTAAAGCAAGCAAGTTGGATTTGATTTCTAAGGCAATGTATAAACAATTTCTTTCATGGCTAAAGGAACAAATGAAATATTACATGATTATTTATTAAAAAATGGTACCTGGGCTGCAGCAATTTCTGAATCTTGCTTCTGGATTGCAAAGGATTGTGGTCGTAACAGGCAAACGAAAAATAAATCTGATTTGCTAAAGAACGATTGGTGACTTTGCCTGTCATTAATAGCAATAAAAATGAGATTAAAAATATATCAAAAACTGTGAATTCTTTGAATACACTTTTTTATCATCAAGTTTAAAATTCATTGGTGGACCGGGACTCATGGTTAGGGAGGCAAAACAAAAAATTACCTTTAAAAAATTAGGGATGGTAAAAAAAAAAAATGACACTAATTTATAATAGATTTTTTTTTTTTTTTTTTTTTTTTTTTTTTTGAACCGGAAAGGTGGCTGCCACCCTCTGTTCCGCGTTGGCAATGAAGGAAAAAATTCCATTTATTGGAAGCAAATCATGAGAAGAGAATTTCGAGTATTTTTTTTTTTTTTTTTTTTTGAACCGGAAAAGGTGGCTGCCACCCTCTGGTTCCGCCGTTGGCAATGAAGAAAAATTCCATTTATTGGAAGCAAATTCATGAGAAAGAAGTTCATATAGCATAAATAGCATACCTGAAGGCTAAAATTTCCAGAAATTCTGCCTCAATCTGATAAAAAGGCAAAAGATTAAAGATCTTAGATTTACAATGGCCACTATATATAGTTTAATGCAAAATACTAAAATATGATTATAGATTAACTCCAGGGCATAACGCTTGCACTTATGTCTACAAGAAAATTTGATTCTTACTCCAGTTTCTTCTTTAACCTCCCGAATTGCAGCTTTACATATATCCTCTCCCTGCAGATGGAAAATTTCTGTTTATTAAGGAAAATATCATTTTGAAAAAGAAAGCCTCAAACTGCAGTAATATTCTTACCTCATTGACAACCCCAGTAGGTAGCTTCCATAACCCTGTACCTTTGAATCCACCACTCTTCTCCTGAACTACAAGCACCTACAAAATGAAACAATTTTACGTCAAAGTTATTAGAAGCCATAGCCACAATGTCAAACACATAAATGACAAGAACCATTAAATACCTCTCTGTTATCTTTCACTACATATGCTCCAATACCCACTCGATGTGTAGCATTTACTGGAAGAGTATCGGGAGTGTTAGGTAGCCATCGCACCAACATTAAGTAATCTGGTTCAGCATGATGATACCTAAATCCTTCCTGCAAACATGATTATAAGGCGTGAAGATTGCTATGCCAATAATAGTTGTTATTAATTTATTTCTCAGAAAGGGATATATAAACTCGGATCAGAAAATCAATTCATAAAATTGTAAGATTTTATGATTAATATTTTTTTTTTTGGTGTAAACCACAGTGTTCGGACCTATCGCCAGAGACCGGCTAATCGTTGCCAACTGAGCCACACTCCATTGGTATGTAAAATAATTTTTAAAATTATCTATATAAATTTTAAAAAATTATATGTAATTTTTTTTGAAGTACTAGTAATTAAGTATAAGATTCAAATTAATATATTTTAAGGTAAATATTTCTTTTGCCAGGATTTTTTCATGAGAACACAACTTTTAAGTATAGGTTCAAATTGTTGCTAGCTCTATTTATTTTAATTTATACTTTATGGCCTTTTCAGTATTGTAAATCTAAGTTTATTGTTTCTGATATCTAATATTTTATTAATTTATTTCAATATTTAAAAACTAGAACAAAGAAACAAAGATAGAGAGAAAAGTACTGGGATTGACTTGCCTGTATTGGGTCCATGACTTAATCTATAGACCGTCAATGAAAGTAAAAGTTTTTATTAAAACAAGATAAAGTAAGAATAATTCATTAAAAAATTTTATTTTATTCGTTTGAGCCATGGATGGGCCAAGAACCCAATCAGCCAAGTATAATTCAAAAGTATTTGGGGCTAATTTTTATATTTACAATTCATCCCTCATAGGAGTATATTTATATTTTTGGCTTTACAACATATGATATTATATACAAACCTGAACCATTGGAGAGACGAGATTAGAAAGTTGGATTGGCAATTTGATCCAAAAACCTTTCTTTCCCTAATAACAAAATTAAAATAATGATTAAAAAATTGCTACACAATCAAGTGGGTATATTACAAATTATTAACAAATTGGATGATGACAAGGAAGTAGTACCTGCTGCTTCCATTGTGAAAGAGAAGCTCTAAGCAAAGGAATAAAAATATCAGAGTCCATATAATCCTTCATTTCTACAACAACTCCGTCATATAAATCATCAACTGCATCAAGCAGTCCAACTTGATCCTCCTTAGGCGTCGAACTTGTAATGGATGACATGTTCCTATACAAGAATGAAAGTTTTAATTCCGTGACCTGGGGGAATTTCCAAGCATCCCATTTAGTTTGTCTTAACCTTATTTAGTTTATATACTGCGATGAGCATTGATGAGGGTAGAAGTGGAACCCCTGGACCCACTCTTTCTTTTTTGTAGAATCTCCATAAATATGTTATGTGCCTGTTAAGTTATATAATTACGTGAAAATATTAATATTAGAACATACCTCTAGGCTTGGCTTTATAGGCTTCTGAAACGCCCTGCTGAAATGACAGAAAGACAGCTTAATGCATATACGAAATGGTATCGTTTGTATGGATTTATATAGACAAACAATTATCAGAAGAATTTTGCAATATGTAGTTACTGATTAGATAGAGACAACGCGAAGATCTTTCCAAGCATTTGTAAGAGAGAAGAATGAGGAGAATTCCTACGCAATCCGCATTATCTATGATGGCGCTATTCATTTACTCTGTCCTTTTTTTTTTTTTTACTTCTTTTGTCTTGTTTGTTTGTATGGTTTGACAAAACATATATATTAAAAATTAAGTTACTAAAAGTGTTTTTTTTTTTTTTTTACACTTCACTCGTCAAAAATATTAATAAAAGTCCCTCGTTTAACGAAGGATCATAAAGTTATCATGAGAAAAATAATTATTTACATATCTAAATTTAGAAACCTTGTAAACATTTTGGGACATCCAAAAAAGGAATAATAAGCAAATAAAATATAACAGAGTGAGTATTTTTTTTTTTTCGGTGCTTGAACTTGCATTTACCCTATTTGTTATGTTGGACTGTTTATGTGAATTAATTGTCAAGCCATGTAAGTAGACACATAAGAAAAAGTAGATCCGACTTCGTTCTATTGTACAAACAAGCTGTTCATTTCATCAGGAGACACCAAATTGAAAAAAAAAATCACAAATTCAGATATTTAATTCTCTATTTTCCGTTTAGACATCAAATTAGAAAAAAAGAAATCGCAAGTTGAAATACCAAAAATAACATATTATCCCATTTCTAAAATAATATTGTTAATCTTAAAGCTTATATATATATATAGCACAGTTTGCTCGAGATAGTTCACCTAACTGGAAGATGAGTTAAATTTTTTTAACAAATTCCAGCCTTATCGCGAAAGCATTGACAAATTAGCAATTCGATGTGAACTGAGCTGCATTTGGTGGCTTATTTTCAAAATTGCACAAAATTTTACTCTCTTATCAATTTTTCTTCAGTTGCAATAAATTTTTGAGTTTACCAGAAAATGAATCTTTATCAAGTTTCTTGGATTTCGTTTCTTATCTTTCTCAAGAATGAATGTCACTTCTAGTTGCCAATAAATTTTTTGGAGTTTTACAGAAATGGAATCTTTATCATACGGTTTCTTGGTTTTCGTGATTTTCTTATCTTTCTTCAAGAATGAAGATTGTCATGCCGAAAAGACAGAGGACAAAAGCGTTACAGTTCAGTTGAACACGTTATTAAATCTTTGCATAATTGAGGTAAACTGGTGTACTATGTTAGAATTTTCTTTTTTAAAAATAAATTCAATCTGACTATGTACAAGAACCGCTCATAAGCAATTTCTTCTGTGGAGGATCAAACTGAATCTGCCACACAGAAAGATCTGACTATGTACAAGGAAGCTCATAAGCAAATTCCTGTGGAGATCAAACTGAGATCTGCACACAGAAAGAGAGGTGATGGTTCAAAATGTGGACCTATCTATAGTAGTTTTTGCTTATAACCAAATAATGACAATACCAAAACTACCAAACAAGACTTGCAGATACAAATGTGAGATTCACTGTAACTATATGTATATTGTATACAAGTTGAGAGCTTCCATGAATCTGATTTTGTACTGGCCTCGTCGGGAATGGACAGAGGAAAAGGTGAGGGGATTAAGTTTAACTAAACTTATGTGTTTGCATTAGTTTTGGGATCAGAACAGGATTTAGTGCGATTTCAACTACTATAATTTTCCTTTTTTTTCCTAAAAGAAAAACACTTGACAAATGACAAAAGAACTTCTAAGTTTAACACAGTAAAATTTCAGGAACTATTAACTCAAATTTTTTCAAGACACAAATTTGAATTATTTCATTTTATTATAATAATAAAGAAATTAAATAATAAAATATGATAAAATATATAAAAAAAGAAATATTATAAATTAAAAATAGAAATTCATGTACAGAAAGACGAAGATTTAATCGATCTAAAAAAATGTTAGTGGAATAAAAGAATTAAAAAATGTTAATCGAGTTTTGGTAGTAATGGATATACACAACCTTAATCCTAAATTCTGATCCAAATACATGTCGATAATAAATTTTGCACTCTCATTCATCATAAATTTATTTACTCCCTCATAACATTTAAACTGTCAGTTTTTAAGATTTCTTTTATTTCACATTAAGTGTCATTTTTTAAAATTCAATAAATAATTTATTATATCTTTATTCTTTTTACCTTATTGAATCCCATTATGATTTTAGAGTATAGTGTTAGAAAATTAATAAGAAGATAATGAGATAATTTGAAATGTAAAATGTATAATAAGTTAAAAGTTAATAGTTTGGATGGAATGGGAAATAATTAATATTTAAATGTACTTTTAACGAATTTTTACAAGCTGCACATCAAGGTATAACCTAATAGTAAGTATATATATAATTTGACAACAGATTCAGATTTAAATTCCATTTCCCAATACTAAAAAAAAAATTACGAGTCCATCCATTCCTATTTATAGGAGAAATCTACTTGTCAACTTTTGTTTAATTCTTTAGTCATTAGTCACCTTGACTTTATAATTTAATTAAGCCCACATAAATTATTAAAAATTTCATGTAATTTTTTATTTATTTTTCTTTTAGATAAATCATGCAACGTCGATATAACATAATATGATGATGTCATCACCTAGACTACTCAAATATGACAACTAAGCGTAGATTCGGTCATCCTGATGGAAATTGGTTGCCTAGGCCGAGATCATGACCCCCGTTTATAAATCAAGTAAATAAAACTAAGGATTTTTTAAAATATGTTCCGACTTTATCTTTTTTTTTTTAAATGTATAGTTAGAAAATATCATCGTTTCAATAAAAATCCTTAATTTCATTAGTTTTGTTCATAAGTGGGGCTATAAACTCGGTCTAGGTAAAATTTTTCCATGCAAATAAGCTACCCCTTACCAAGCTCAAGGGTTCACTTTTTAATTTATTGATAAAATTTAGAGTAAATTTGCTTTACCTATTATAATTAACAATTTTAGTTTCCATAAATAATTAAATGCCACACAAATCTTAATTATGTTTAACCTAAAAATAAAATTAACCAAAAATGTGGAAAAAAATAATACAATGTCCCCCCTCCCAAAAAAAAAAGACCCAAAAATATTATTATATTATCTTATTGTATTAATTATTCTTTTGAGTTGAACATAAAAAGTCATATTCGAAAATATAATAAATTCCAAATGTTGTAAAAAGCTTTTTTCTTTTTCAAATAAATGAGTACATGCTAAAATCCTCGATTTTTATATATAACATCATATTGGTCAATGATTATTTTTCAGTTTAATGTCTTAAAACTAATTCGAAAATATAATAAATTCCAAATGTTGTAAAAAGCTTTTTTCTTTTTCAAATAAATGAGTACATGCTAAAATCCTCGATTTTTATATATAACATCATATTGGTCAATGATTATTTTTCAGTTTAATGTCTTAAAACTAGGGCTATGCACGACTTTTGGAAAAGAAAGATTAATTAGACCAAACTGAGTCCGAAAAAGAACTATCACTACAAAAAAAAAAGGAATTTTAGCGACCGACCATGAAACTGAACGTGAAACCTATGTACTTTTACTGACAGAATCAGCGACTATTAGCGACAGATATACCGATGGACTTGACATCGGTCGCTCATTTTCCCATGAAAAATTGGCGCCAAATAGAGCTACAGATCAGCGATCCCCATTGCGATGAAATAGTGATCAATGTGGATTTCGTTGGCACCACATATTTGGCGGGAATTAATAACGACTATTGGGCTACAGCTGTGACGATCAAAATTTCAATAACATTAGCGGCCAATTTGATAATATAGCAATAGAATTTATTTATCATGTTAATTAATATAGCAACCGATTTTGTTAAATTAGCAATCCATCTGGCAGGCGGTAATTTTTTAGCTCTATTTAGTCACCTTTCTCTCTCGAGCGAGACTAATCACGCCTCTCTCCCTCCCTCTCTGTCCCTTGCCCTTTGTCTCACTCCAGCGCCAGTGAAGAGCGCCGCCGTCGAGCAACACCGCAGGTAAGTAATTGAATTTGAGTTTGTTAATAAAATGGTTTGTTAATGTATTTCTTAATGAAAATTGTTTTTGGATGTTTAGTTAATTTGTTAATGTGTTTGTTAATAAAAATGATTTTTAGGATAGTTAGTTTTTTAGTTAGTTTACTATGTTAATTAGGTTAGTTTTTTAATTAGGTTACTTTGTTAATTAGTTTACTTTGTTAATTACGGTAGTTTTTTAATTACGTTAGTTTGTTATTTACATTAACTTTATAATTGGATTCTGAATTTTGGTTAATTGATATTCTACTTAATTTGCTAAAAAAGATTTGTTTAAAATTTGCAGATTTAAACATCTCAGCATATTTGTGAAATCTCGCAAATCTGGTACTCATTTTCTTTCTCTTTCTACCTTTATATAGTAGATTTTGAGTAGGAAAATAATAAAAAATAAATTAGAGAAAGCATAAACTTAATAATTCTAATCTAAAGAATAAAACTTAATGATTACATAAACTTAATTAGGAAAGTGACAACAAAAAATTTACCATAAGCTATATTTTTATTGTAATCTAAGTAGTGTACCAATTGTAGCTTTCTAATTAGAAAAGCATAAAACTTAGCATAATCATAACAAACATAGGAATTAAAAGCATAAACTTAAAAATTCATATGAATTAAAAGCATAAAACTTAAGGATTCATATGAATTAAAAGCATAAAACTTAAAGAAAGTAAAAATTAAAAGCATAAAAATGGCTTTACTCAGACATGTTTAAGAAAGCTTGGGAGACACAATCGACGGAGCGTTACTCGGACTTCCTCTACAAGATGCGGAGTACAAGAAAGAAGCAGAGGTATGTTTCAGACGAGATTTGGGCTAGTTGGCAGCAGGCTTGGTCCGATCTGAAGTATCAAAGGAAATGGGAGATTACGTCTCATAATAGGCTCAGTGAGATGGGTGGTGAGGGAACTGGTCCGTCTCGACATACCGGCAGTTCCATTTCAGCAATTGAGATTATTGAGAAATCGGTAAGGA